CAGCTGTACCTTCTTTCATTCCCCCTTCTTCTACAGCTGTTCTTTCTTCTTCTTCCTCCCCTCTTTCTTCAGTTTATACTTCAGTTTCCCCCTCTCCTTCACCCTCTCAGTCTTCCTCTTCTCATAGTTCGTCTTCCCTTTTGCTTTCAGGCTCTTCCCTTGCCTCTTCCCCTTCTTCTTCTTCCGTAAATAGTCCCACTTTAAGTTTTTTTCAACACTCTCCCAACTTTTCCCCTCCTAAGTTTAGCCCTACTCCTTCACCTTCTTCTTCCCCTATTCCGGGACCTTCGAACGTCCCCCTTTCTATTTCTTCCCCTATTCCGGGACCTTTAAACGTTCCCCCTCTTATTTCCACTCCCCCTTCTCATTCCTCTTCAATTTCTTCAACCCTACCTAATTTTCCTCCTTCTCCCCCTTCATTTTTTCCTCCCAACCCTTTCGCTCTTCCTCTTTCCGCCCTTCCCAATACTACCATTTATCGTTCTCCTCCTCCCTCCCCTTCCCCTTCCTCTTCTTCTTCCTTAAGTTCCCCCTTTTTTTCAACTCCTTCCAATTCTTCTATTTCTTCCTCCACTTCTTCCACCCCCTCCTATACCCTCCCCGTTTTCAATCGCCCTTATGTACATTATAGACTTCTTAGGTGGCCAGAGCCGATGGATCTTGATCCACCTGGCATTTTTGTAGAAACCCCATTCATTCCCCCCCATAGCCAGTGGCCCGAACCAATGGATCTTGATCCTCCTGGTATATACGTGGCCATTGATTATGGTTTTTATCCCTTCCCCCTCCATTTTTAACTGGTCACCTCTCTTAGTTTCGTCGCCTTGGCCGGCAATTAAAAAAGGTTTCAGAATATTTTTTTAAAAAAAAAAATTAAAAAAAATTAAAAAAAAATTAAAAAAAAAATATAAAAAAATATAAAAAAAAAAAAAAATATAAAAATAAAAAAAAAAAAAAAAATCCCCTTAAAATAATTTCACTAGGGTGTTTATCTTATGATAAGCATGACTACGATGCAAAGGTATCGTATCTTTTATATGAAGTTGGCTGTTTCTTTTTTCCTTTTTGCAATTAAAATATTCCCTCTTTTAGCCACTTCATCCGTTAGTTTAGAATTTATTTATCTTAAAAACTTAAAAAAAAAAAAAAAAAAAAAAAAAAAATTATGCATTATTTACATATGTATTTCGATAATGTTTTGAGGTGAATTTTTATTTAAATTTATACCCTCATTATATTCGTTTGCACTTTCTTTTTTTTTTCACCTCAAGTGATCTATCACATTTGATATGTGGTGGTCAACTTTCTTTAACCTGAACGAAGCTTGCTACCTCTACGTGGTGTTCAGGATAAACGGTTATAGTTTGGACTATATCTGGCTAAGCGCAAGCATTTATGGTATAAATTTTGTAAAAACTAAATAAAAACATGTAAACTTATTAAATCTTTTAATAAAACTTTTTTATTATGTCTCGAACGTAATTTTTTTTTATATTATACAATAAAGATACGACATTTCTCACTATGATTAAGTAGCGTAATTAATCAGGGTTTATGAAATTTATAAATTATAAACTTTTTAAAATTTATTTACGGCATACAAAAATAAGGTAAATAAATATTTATGTTTCAATAAAAAATTTCACAACATCAATTATAATAAAAAAGAATAATAGCCATATGGTTACAACGCTACGCATTTTCTTGATAATATAATAGAATGAAATGAAGTATTTGTTTCATTCTTGCGGTTATTCCTATTAATATTTAAAAGGAATTAATCAAATGAAAATAGTGATGAAATTAAGTGAATCTACCGCAAAACGTGACACTTTATTTGAAAATGTCACTCCATAAAATTTTCGCTTTTTTAAATAATCAAAAGTTAAAAATAAAATATAAAAGTGACTTTACTATTAACGAGACCTTTAAACTAATAAATGTGTGAATTATATCACAAAATTTTCCAACCTTAATTGCAACATCTATATAACTATCCTTCATTATCGTTGTCATTACCGAATCCTAATTATGGATATCTTATCTATTAAAACAATATATTCCAAAAGTTTGAACGATATAAAATAAAAAATTATTGATACCCGATCAATTCTTCTTTCATAATTAATTGTCCGATTCAAAAACTTTGTTGATTCTAATTAGTTATTAATAATAAGACGTTTCAAATAATAATTATTTTAATCAACTAGATACATAAAAACCTTCAAGAATGGTGAGAAATTTGCTACATTTCAGAACAAATATATGCGAAGTAATAAAGTTATAAAAATATGTGGAAAGATAGTTTATCGAGAGATACATAAAATAAATGAATCAATATATTATTATATTTCTTTTATTTCTGACAATAAATTGATTCATACTTGGATTATGCAAGACGAAGCACCTAGTTTACTGAGAAAAGGAGAAAATCTGAGGATTTTAATTTTGATAATGCATTTTCATATTTTCATTATAATTGAATTTGTATTTATTAGAAATACGTTTTTATTGAAACATTTATTGCAGTTGACAATAATTTTTCTGTTATGTACAGTATCTATTTGAAAATTCTTCCTAATGCAAAAGTACAATATTCAAGTTATAAAAAAAAAAAAATCATTATGACATTCTTTGAAATTCACAATCTATAATTTAATTTCAGGTGCTTGCGCTAAAATATTTTTACGGAGTTCACAAAACGTGAATAAAATCGTATTATGTTATTAATTCTGATTGTATAAAAAGAAGATAACTCGATATTTAGTAAAAATCATGCTTGCAGTTAAAACTTAATAAATGATTTGTAATCTATAAAGTATATAAGAACTCGTCAAAGGTTTTTGAGCGATCGTGATGGTAAGCAATCCCAAATCAAATATAAATTATTCCTCCCTTTATTTTTTGTGCATTTTTTTTTAAAAAAATTGATAATTAACTATTCAAAAAATTTAAAATTACTTAGAATAAATTTTTTAGAATATTAGATACTTTATTTGATATGATTATATTTATAATAAAAAATAGAAAAAAAAAGATAAAAAAGTTTCGTTTCATTTTAAAAGAAATTTCAACCTATTTTGAGCATCCGGATATCCATGTTTGGCAGATCTTTTGTACCAATATCCAAGCCTTTATCAATTACATTCCCATTTTCATACATACAAGCAAGATTAAATTGAGCTATTTTATTTTCTAAATTTGCAGCAGTTTCATATAATTCGAATGCTTTTTGCATATTAATATTAATCCCAATTCCACAATATCCTAAATTTAATATTCCACTTGAATAATTTCCTTTAGCTGAATATTGAAAGAGTTTAATAGCTTTATGATAATCTTTTTTAACACCTTTTCCATTTTTATAATAATTACCAAGATTATTACTAGCGATGACATTTCCGTTATTTGCAGCTTTTGTATACCATTTAATAGCCTTTTTTAAGTTACTTTTAATAATACCTAATCCAATTTCATAACGATAACCAATGAATAATTGTCCTGCCGCAAAATCCTTATTAGCTACTCTTAAATAATAATCGAAGGCCAAATTTACATCTTTCGCAACTCCACGTCCTTCATCATAACATATTCCAACATAACATTGTGCCAAAGTATGATTTTTTCTTGTAGCAAGCATAAATAAATCTAATGCTTTTTTATAATTTTTACTTGTTTCAAGTCCAAAAAATGAAAATAACCAAGTAAAAAATAAGAATTTGAAGTATTTTGATATTTGAAAGCCAATCATGGATTTTACAAATTTCAAATGATGTGATATTTCGATTTTTAAAAAATCAATAATTGGTTTGTCACTTAGCATTTGAACTTTTCCTTTGTTGGTTAGTTCTTTAAAAATAAAGGTTACGGCTTCATCAACTAATATCCTTAAATCATTTTCAGATAAATTCTTATTATTGTAAACTTCACTTGTTTTTGTTGTAGGTGAAATCATTGTTTTCAATCGTTCGACAACTGCGCTCATAGATGGTCGATTTTCTGGTTCGCCATCCCAACAATCTATATAACATAAGTATTAAAATCAAGTAAAATTAATACAGAATAAATTATACTTGATATATTTACCGGTATATAGTCTAGCATAATCATCAGGATTATCAAGAATGATTATTGGTCTAAGACCTAGTATGATATCCAGAGCTAAACCAAAATCATGCGATTCACCTTCCGTACAAAATGGTGGATGTCCACTTGATATTTCCCATAATAATACGCCAACACTATAAACATCACTTTTCTCATTCAGTCTGTATACTTGTTTTGAATCAGTTTTATTTTTTTGTTTACAAAGTCTTCCTGGATCAATGTAAGGAATTAATCCAAATAGTTTTGATCGATGATTGGATGCTTGTTGAATTCTTTTTGACAATCCAAAATCCGCCAACTTGTTCGATGAACTAAAATATTACAGGAATTCTAAGTTAAGATATATTAAGTCAGTCAAACCACAATATAAATTATGTATATGACGTTTTAAATTATTACCAAATCACGATGTACAATTCCTTCATCATGTAAACTTGATACAGCATATGCTAATTGAAACACCAAATCATATTATTAATCCAACTAAGAGATTCAAAATTTTTTTTCAAATAATTTTGAAGAGTTCCACCATCGGCATATTCTAACACTAGTAAATACTTCAATTAATTATTTTGATTTTCTAGATATAAAGAAATGCTTTTTAGATTCACAAAATTGATTAGATGAAATTATAATATGATTTATTAAATAATACCTTGGTAGAAAGATGTAATACCATAAAAGCGAATAATATTATCATAAAAATCGACTTCTCGGTGAAGTTTAATCTAATCCATGATGCAATTTAGAAATGCATATACTTTAAAAGGTTAAATGGGTCAAATTAGGTATTAAAGTTTTAAAACCTCATGAATTATTTCCTTAACCGTAAAGTTGTTAAGATTATAAAAAAGATTTAAGCGCCAAAGATTTATGGAAATTTTTCCAGTTTGCTTTGAAAATCTTTCCAAATACACCAGAACCAATTTCCTGAATATTACGAAATTCTTTATATTCGTAATATTTAAAGCTCTCTTTAGCGATAGCTTCTTCAATCAAATTAATCCATTCATTTGTATTTACTTTATTTTCTATATTTTGAATTTCGACAATTTTAGTCATTGTGGAGAAAAAATTTTTATGGATTTTTTGTGATTCACATGTTAATTTATGATTGCGCAAAAATGATCAAAGAAAAAAAAATTGCCTTATTTAGGTTGGTTAATATTTCATATAAAATATTAAAAAATTGCCATGTGCCAACTTTGACAAAAAATTAGTTATTGATCCTAGGAAAATATTTTTTTTTTGTCGAAATACATTTGATCATAAGTTTTAATTTAAATAAAAATATATTGATAATAAATAATTGATTTGAAATCTTCCAACAACACAAGCTAAGAAATGAAAATGATGATTTAAATTTTTTCTAAAAACCTTTACAGACTCAATGTTTCCCACTTATTTATGAAAATCTATGTTGTAAAATAAACTTTCTTGAAATTTCAAGGGTTGAATACTGAGATCTTCAAAAGAACAATTAAACCAAAGAATGAAAAGTTTGCTTGAGATTTTTAAAATGATAACCAATAAAGTTTTTATGACAGAACAATTATCGTTACGATTAGTATTGAAAAAGATTAAAAAATATTGGCCTGGACAGCTAATTTATTAGAAAAGTATTGACACATTTGCATACATCAAGACAATCTGCTATTCCAAAGGAAATTGAATCATTTATACCAATGTTAGGATCACTTCATCTTTTCACTTAACAGTATAGATCGAACAAATTCTTCAATACTGAATTTTTTTTTTAATCGTTCGACAACTGCGATCATAGATGGTCGATTTTCTGGTTCACCATCCCAACAATCTATAAAAAAATTATTTAAAATCAAATAACATTTAAAATATGAATAAATTATTATTAATTTACCAGGTATAAAGTCTAGCATAATAATTAGGAGTTCCAGGAACTGTCGTTTCTCTAAGACCTTGTAAAATATCCAGAGCTAAACCAAAATCATACGATTCACCTTCCGTACAAAATGGTGGATGTCCACTTGATATCTCCCATAACAATATGCCAACACTATAAACATCACTTTTTTCATTTAATTTGTATACTTGTGCTGAGCTATTGAATGCTAAGTTAGGAAATATTAAATAAATCAGTCAAATCTCAATATAAATTATGCATATAACGTTTTAAATCATTACCAAATCACGATGTACGATTCCTTCATCATGTAAATATGATACAGCATAAGCTAATTGAGATGCCAACTCATATTTATTATCCCAACTAAGAGATTCAAAATTTTTTTTCAAATAACTTTGAAGAGTTCCACCATCGGCATATTCTAACACTAATAAATATTTTTTCAATGGATCATTCTTATTTTCTAAAAATAAAAAGAAAATTTTACTTTTATTTCGCAAAATTGAATAGATGAATTCCTTTAATGATAATAAAAGAATAACCTTGGTTGGAATTTGTAATACCATAAAAGCGAATAACATTATCATAAAAATCGACTTCACGGTGAAGTTTGATCTATATTAAAAATTTAATTTAGAAATGCATATAAATGTGCTACAAGGGCTAAAATATATATTATAGTTTAATTACTTCATGAATAATTTCTTTAACTGTAGCGTTGTTAAGACTATAAAAAGATTTAAGTGCCAAATATTTATGGGAATTTTTCCAATTTGCTCTGAAAACCTTTCCAAATAAACCAGAATCAATTTCTTGAATATTACGAAAATCTTTGTATTCAAAATATTTAAAACTCTCTCTAGATATAGCTTCTTCAATTCTATTAACCCATTCATTTGTGTTTTCTGTATCTTGAATTTCAGGTATTTTAGACATTGTGAAAAAAGAAAAAAAATTATAACAACTATTTACGGATATTCATTGTGGTCATTAGTATCGCATAATTAATTTTTTATTGGCCGAATTTAATCACGTGATCACTCTCAAAAATTAATTGGCCCTAATCTCACCTCTATATCATAAATCATGTGAAGTGATTATATAGAGGTTAATATGTTTAACGATTCTGATTAAATAGTATAATACAGTTGAACCTCACTATAACGAATTTCTATATTCTGAATTTTTATTATAGCGAATTACATGAGTGGTCCCAAAATTTATTAAATAAAATTATTGAATATAACGAATTTTTATAATAAACTTACTATCTATATGTATAACGAATTGAAGATCCTGATCAAGTATAATAAATGGGACTTTTGTTAACGAAGTTTTTTTATATAACGAATTTTTATATTAAATTTAAGGGATATAGCGAATTTTTTTCTTGTATTACTATTAAAGGAAATATTACATTATACATTTTAATAAAGTATAAATTAAATAATTTAAATATTCGCAAGAATATGTATAGGGATTAATTAGTGTTGAACCTCAGATTAATTAGTGTCAAACATAGGATTAATCAGTGTTGAATCAGTGGGGATTAATTTCTATAATTCAAATTTGAAATTGTTGATTGTCTCTGATAAAACTAACTCAATTTTTATTCATTTGTTATGTTTAAATATTCATTAGAAAAAGAATAAAATTTTGGATAATATAGTTTTTTATTATTTTAAAATTAATAATTGATTTATTTATTTTTTTTAGTGCTACGACTTCGAAAGATGACCTTTTGACACTTAAGCTTAGCTTATACCGAAGAATTTACTAGATACCAACTTTATAGCGACGTGCCAGGCCAAACAATCTAAGGTATTTCCCTATTTTTCAAGTTATCTACTATGTCGAACGCATTTCCCTCGATGTGCTCATCTAAGCATGACATCCTAACCCAATAATTTAAACCTCTTGTTGTAATCTGGTATTAGGTACTTAGCCTTAATATACTATCAAATTTGGATAAAGGTTTCATTTCAACCATAGTGAACGTCATCACTACATTTACCAACGGTCTAGTGAACCATAACTAAGATCCAATTACTTGGTTTAGCTTTATCACTACTATATAGAGAGCCGCAGGATTCATAGGATAGTACTATAAGATTTGCCTAAATGGTGATCTTCAGTTGTGTATATAAACCACATCAACCAGATGACTTTGATACCCATAACATCAAACAACTTAGGAATCGAACCTGACCTCTAACCCTAGTGACAGCTCGATTAGACAATGCTGCAGGCGTGCAATGCAGTTTATTATCACTGTTAGTCTAATCTACTAAATTCTGGTTAATCACTTCCTTAATTTATATACAATCTTATGATCATATACGGAAATAAGAGCCCCTGCCAAGTGAGACGTAAGATTGTATTCATTACAGATTAATCAGCGAAGGCTAAGTTTTTGTCAATCCCTAACTTCATTTGCATCTACTTGTTCTAACATTGTGCAGTATTTAGGCATGATCAACGTTGATCGACAGATCAATCAATCAGATTTGTACGCATATTAGTACATACGCCTATCATATTCAGTACATATGAAATTCTTATGAAAATCATTTAGTTTTATGTATCGGCTGATATCTGAACTGATGGCCTATTGCTGTGTAATGAAACTTTAGCTTAATAGAAGACTCACGGTTTAATCACTGAGCTAGGGATGCTGATCCCTTTTATAATTGATTTATTAAATAACATTGCTTTAAAATTAACATTTTGCTTAAGATATTTATTATTAAAATCTGATTGGATATGATATTTAGTATTACTGTATAACAAATAAATTGTTAAAATTCAGTAAAATGTTATTGAATTTTCTCATTTTAATGAATTGTAACCTTTAAAAATGATGATTTGTTATAGTGAGGTTCAAATGTATATTAAAATAAAGTATATAAAATTCAATTTTATTATTATAAAGCACATAAAATTCGATTTTATTATAAAATTTATTAATATTTGAAAAGTTTATACAATTATCATTTATCTTCTTATTAAAAAAATCAGTTATTGAAACTTGTTTTCTAGTTTGCAATTCAAGTTATTATACTATATTAAGATATTTTTTTAAAAAATATCTAAATCTTCTGTTTCAAATTGATTTGTTATTTGTTATTCAAAAAACTTACCCAAATTTGTAAAGATTTAATTATACTAACAAAAGGTATTGATATCAGTTCTTTGAAATTCTCTTCAGAATCATTATTTTTATCATCATATACATCTTCTTGAACTAATTTTATAATATTATCATCACTTAAAAGATCCTCAGTTGAATTTCTTTTTCTAAATCTTGAAAGAAATCATTAATTGCATTTTTTAATGAAGAAACATAAAGGTTTTCAAATTCGTCAATTATTTGATTGGTTCTTACTATTTCTGTATCTGTTGTTTCTTAATAAGCCTCTTTTGCATTATCTATATCTTCATTAGTTGAAAAAAGCAATATTCCAGTTTTATTCCAACAATTACAAATTGTTCCTTTAATTACATTATGCCATGTATTTGCCTAATATTTGATAGAAACTTTAACATTAAATTTCTCTTTATTAATATCTTTATCTTCTTCAAAAATTTGTACCATATGATGACAATAATATTATTTTAAAACTTGCGATAATTCTGGCATCAAGAGGTTGAAGATGACTTATAGTATTTGGTGATAAGAAGATCACTTCAACATATGTAAGTTAGAATTGATAAGTATTTGGTAAAGAATTATATATTCTTAAAACTCGATTTCTTTATAAAAAGTATTAATTGAATAAGTTACTGTAATTTACTTTTAAATTAAAAAAATTTTAAATTTTAACTTATCACGTTCTCTTAAAATAGAACCTGAAGTAGAACTTAAGCTTGAAGTATTATCTTCATCTTGCAAATGATTATTCAGATTAATATATAATAGGGCATTATCAATTATGAGTAAAGTTGCTAGACGAAATCCAGAGTTTAGACTAAATATGGTACAGCAATTGATTTCAAATTTACAAAGTGTTGTAACATAAGCTAAAATTAGTTGCAACATATGTTGCAACATTATAAGTTGCAATATATATAGGTTAAAACTAATTGCAATGTAAGTTACAACATTAAAAGTTGCAACATATTAATTATAGTTCCCATCTTTAGTAAAGAATATAAAAATATCTTGGCTGTTCCTGACATAATGAAAGATTTTGCGCTTTCTTATAAAAATTTTGAGATAAAAATTAAGATTACACTAATTTAATTATTCAATAATATTATAATATATATTTTAATATATATTTATTTTTTTTATAGTGTAAAGGAGAAAGTATATATAAAGAATAAAATAATGGATTATGATAGAAAACTATAGAAGTTTCCTTACCTTATAAAGCTAAATTATTCAATTATTTTATATTCGGATGCTACAACTACTGACACATTAGAAAAAAGTCAGTTACATTCAATATATATATCAATTAGTAATATTCCAATATTGTGTCATAATAAATCAAACGCAAATCAATTTTAGGGTATTTACTAATATTAGAATCTTCTCTTGGTAAAAATCAGGTTTGTAAAATCTTTTACAAATCCTTAAAATACTTATTAGAACCTATTTATTTAATAAATAATATAGAACTTGAAGTAAATAATGAGACTATTTGGTTTTTCTCACGCATTTTTGTAATTATTGCAGATTGGCCAGAAGTAGCAACTTTTTGTTTAACTTATAAGTCTACTAATTCAAATTTTTTTTGTCATTCTTGCTTAGTAATAAGAGATAATCTTACAAAATTAAATTTGTTGGCTGATGATACAAAACTGAGATCTCATGAAGATGTGCATAAATATTTTGATGAATATATTGAAAAATCTGTTAGTATAGAATTGGTATCTAATTTTTTTGAAATTTATCATAAGTATTTATAATTTTACATAAAGTCAAATATTATATTATAATAACAATTATTTTAATCTTTAGAGACATAAATATCTATTTAGCTATAATATCTTATAGAATGCATTATTTAGATCTTAGTTTTTTCTGCTACTAAATTGATTTTACGTGAGAATTATTACAATCTTAACATAATAATGCCTTAGTTAACAAAATAGATTTCTGCATAACCACAATTCCTAATTTTCCTAATCTGAAAATATTTTCTAAAGAATTACAAATTACAAAGCTAACTGCTAATGAATATCGGTCTTTGATGAAACAAATAATATTCGTATTGAATAATTTGTATAATTGAAATAATAAAGGAGTAAATAATTTTATAAGTAATAATGAACTTGTGAAATTATATGAAAGTTGAAATAAAATGTATGTTATAAGTAGATATGAAGAATTTAGTGAAGCTGATCTCAATAAATTTAAAGTAAGCTGATAAATATTTTTATTAAATTAAATCTAATAAAATAAAAACTAATAATAAAATTTTTTAAAATGCAATAAATGATTGGACTAAAAGATTTATCTGAATTTTTGAATTTATCTCCTATTCCAACCTGAAGTTTTCGAAGTTGCATTCATGGATATATCACATTATTGATTTTATATGATTATATAATGCAATAAATGGCTATAAACGGAAACTTACAAAAGCCTTTATAAGGATTTTGTTAAAATCTCATATAGAATAAACAACAAAAAGAATATTGAAACTCAGCTTTTACAAACTGTAAATATTTGATAATTTGATATTTTTTTTATAATTAATAACAATATGATATCAAATATATCAAATATTGATAGATAAGATATCAGGCAATATTGCATATATTCTCTGATAAATAGCAATATTAATAAAATCATCTCGTTCATATAATTTTCTGGGAAGCTTTTCGAATTTTCATTACAAAATGCAAATAAATTTTTAACGAAATAAAAGAAACTACTACAATTGATAATAGAATAGAAGTCGTGCTTGACAAGTTTTTAGGTTGTCTGGATTTTTATTTGGAATTACTTCAAAATCCAACAATTGATGAAAGCCTTGTAAAAATATATGGATCAGTGATTTTAGAAAAAAGGCATCATAATGCGTGCTACTAGCAAATATCACAATAGAGTATAGTTTAGTGGAGTAGCAATTTCAATGAATTCTGCAGAATCGAATGATTATACATTAGATCAGGGAATTTGCTATGAACAGGTTAATTAATTTAATAATTTTAATTATTTATTAATATCTAGTAGTTATTTATTTTAAACAGGTTATTAACATTCATTCTTTATTGTTTTAGGCTTTTTTATTGGCAGAAATATAAATAGAAAAAGACCACCCTCCATTAAATCTTGTGTTAATTCAGTGGTTCAATTTCAAATCTTAAAACTACCCATATAAATACAAATGTTCTCACATAAAATCAATAGAATTATATAATTTTGTAGCAATAAAAGCTATACAAACTATCGTGCATATAATATCCTATTTGATAAAACAAATGAATATTTTGTAAATAAATATATATTTTGATAAATAAAGTTCTATTTTTATTTTTTTATAAAGTTATAGATCATTAAATATATAAAAGAGCGAAAATAATAATAAAAATAAAAAATTGTAAATGATTAAAAATATTATTTTTTTAAAGATAATTCTGATATTAATATATAATATAAATATAAATTTGTTTTAAGAGACAGATCATCATTCATCAGAATAAAATGATCAGCAATTAGTAATTAATTTTACAGGCTTTACAATTAATAAAAATTTTTTTTTTTAGAATTTCCTGTTTTTCACTAACAAACTTTTTTTATGAGCAAAAAAAAAACAATATTCAATAACTCTTTTGGCTAAAGGAGACATTTTACCAGACTTGCATTATGGCATGCATGCGCGAAATTGGTAGGAACCACGTCTACATCAGTGATGTGCACTTGGAAGATTGGAAGCACCTTTGGAAGCACTTTTGAAAGGTTTGGAAGCATAATTTATTAATAAAATTATTTGGATTGGAAGTTTCCAATCAAATTTTTTACCATTGGAAGCATAAAATGCACATCACTGGTCTACATAACCAAACTAGCATTAAAGTAATATCTTATCGGCTATTTATATCTGTTAATTATTGTCTTAATAATAAAAACTTTACAATAATGATTATTAATAATAAGGAAACTTATAAACCTGGCTTTTGTTGTCTTTGTGATGGTATTGATTCTGAAATTCAACTAAATTCTACTGCTGCGATTAACAACACATATAACCAAATCCTTAATAATAAAACAAAATATTCAGAAATAGTTGTTTTGAGTTTTGATGATGAAATAATTATTCATGAATTAGTAGAAGATATTTTATTTTTTTCAATTTTTATTCATTTAGATCATTTTTTAATTGTAGTTAGTCAAATTGGTATTTCATCTTGTGAATGCTATTATGATGCTATTCCAGGGTATCTTTCTACATTTATGACAAAATTTCGAGGAAAACAATCACTTTTTGTACAATCTATAAAAGATAAATGTTATTTAGACATTTATGATAAAGATTTTATTAATAAATACCATAATGAAGAGATTACTTCTAATGAAATCTGGAAAACTATTCAAATTCTTAAAAAATATGATGGGGCGGAGTTATTTGGAATTACCAATTCATATGTTCAAAAAGAATTATGCAAGTTGAAAAAGAATTCAATTATGTGTATGAGTAATCAATAGAATAATATTGATTTATTGAATCTTGTATTTGAATGACATATAAAATCACGTAAAATTGCTAATACATTTTTTGATTGGCAAAAATTATTTACAAATTAGTACGGACGAATCCTCTAATTTTATATCAAATTTATCCAGACAATTATCAATTTCAGGAAAAGGAATTGGGTGCATAGCGAGCAATGTTTCGTGCTTCTGGTTATACTAATATTACTCCATTCACAAAAAAAACAACACATTGAATTTTGGATAAGAGCATTAGATCCTTCATCTAATAGGAACAATCTAGCAAACCTTTATAAATCGGTAATATTATTATTAGTAGAAAAGAAATCTTCTCAATCCGATATTAAAAGTGAAATATTTTGGAAATGTTTACAAAATGCTTTAAAGGCAAATAAAAAGGAAATTGATAGAAAAGTTAGGATTCTCTCAATTTTTGCAGATAATTTTACATATGAAAAACTCAAAGAGAAACTCAGGGTAAGTTAAAAATATGTTTTATTGAATTTATATATAAACTCAAAAAATATATATATTATAGGTAGGAAATAATATAATTAATTCTGCACGAAAACATTAAAGCCAATATACAAATTAATATTTCCTTATATAAAATAAGATATATCCAAAGTCTCAATATTATTTCTTTTATCATGACATGTAATTTTTAATTCACTAATATGTTTTTGAGTAATGCAGTTAGCATCAGTATATGTATCAATTAATACTTCAATAGGAATATTTTCTTCGATTACACAATTCACAATAACCATTTTTTATTATAATATATAATATTTAAAGTAAATAAATAAATCTATTCATAAGCATTAGAGATGTCCTAGAATGATAGTGGTATATCATTATTTGCTCTGATTGGCTAATTCATCACTTCAAATTACAAACCATTTAACCTTTCTTTGTTATACTTTTCTTTGGTGCTTATGAGAAACAGCCTTTTCTTTTTATCTCTTACCTGAATTATCTCAATTGAATCAGAATCTTCAGAAGACTTAGACAAATAGGAGAAACCCTTATATTTTTTGATCTTTAGTCAGAAAACTATTTCTTGGATTAAGTCAACTACATTTTTCCTATCCACACATTCGTTTAGATCATTTAATTCGATTTTTAAAGATCCTATATCTTTCTTCAATCTTTTTAACCTCCTTTTTAAAGTATATGATAATTATCCAATTGTTTCTTAAGCATCCTATTTTCACTGAAAAGCATACTATACATATATGTATTTTGTTTATCTAGCCCAAATATTTGGGCTAATTTTTCTATGTATATGATAAATTCCTACTCGCTAGCTATACTATTAGATAAATGCTTTTCATTACTTACTATTTTTGCGATATATTATATATGCTATATATTGCTTTAAACAAAAAAATAAAATAATAAATTCCTTTTTCGCATCTTTGGTATTTCAAAAGATAAGCAAACAAATATATAAAGAAGCAATAAAGTAGATATTAATTTTTATCGAAGAGCTTAAATGTTTCCATCTGATCAGACAGACATACAAATCATTATCAGGATTGATCCATTTTTTTTATTTTTATCTGGTTCTTTTGGAATCCCTTCAAATAATTGCAAGGTTAGTCGTTCATTACACCGTATTTTTCTACTGATTCATAATGACATACTACTTGTCTGCAAGCTAACTTTCGTAAATACTGATGATAAGAATCGTTTCTACTAAAGATGGTTCTCATAATTATTTTTAAAATTTTTAACTAGTTGCAACTTAAGTTGCAATACTTTGAGTTGCAACATTTTATGAATTTTTATATTAAAATAAATTTACAAGGAGTTGCAACCTACCGAGTTGCAACTTCTTAATTATGGTGCCTATCTTTAGTTTCTACCTTCATAAATCCTGCTAATATGATCTACACCTATTTTCCTTAATTTACTAGAAGTAATCCTATGTTGAGCTAAAGTGAGTTTAATTGGATTAGCTATACTACTTTTGTTTTTTCATAAAAAGGTGAATTTTTCTGGTATTGCTTTTTGAATTCAGGCAAGAAATTCTTTTGCTCGTATTAGATCCTTTTCTATTGAGAGGAAAGGTCGAGATTCTCTTACTCCTATTTTTACTTTAGTTTTAGAGTAGCCAATACAATACCAGAAATATTTAGGGTCATATCAGATTTCATTTGATACTTCATATTTATCAATTTGAAGAGTTATTACATCTGCCGATTGCATACTTAACATTATTATTATATCAACCTAATCTTCCTTAGAAAATGATAAAGAGAAATCACATTTCTTGAGTCTTTCCTGAACCGGTTCTAAGAAGAATTGTTCAGGCTAATTGATACCTTTAAATTTGTCAAGTAAAAGCCGTCATGCCTGAATTTTATTTGATTCAGTAGTAATATGAGAAATTTTAGTAACTTTTTTTTGAGATAATCAGCTCCACAATCCTGTAACTTTTTTCGCAATAAAATAAGCTGTGAATCTCCTACAACTGGATTAGGTGCGATACTACCAAAATCATATGAAATTTGTTTATTTTCTCAGACAGATAATCATTTTCCTCAATTTCTTAAACAATTTTATTAACAGTATACCTGCCTTCTTCATGCTTTTTAAAAAGTCAGATAGGAATGAAAATTTCTACTTGTTACTTAGTAAGTCCTAATTGTCGAAAATGTGTTTTAGCATTAGATCTTACCTTGTGATTATCCTTTAAACTTTTGTTAATTTCATCTATATATTTAGCTAGTTCAGATGATAGAGTTTTGGAAGTATATTTATAGCATTTCATGAAATCTGTGGCTACTTTTGACATATTGTTTTGATGATGGTTATACATGAAATTGAAATAAAAACCCAAAAGTCAAAATGTTTCGACTTTGAAGGTCAAAGTTGAAATGAATAGTCAAAATAGTCAAAATTACTTCATATTACATGATTTTTTATATATAGAAAAAACAAAAAAAAATAAAAGACATACGATCTCAGTCAATATCGCTCTGATTCATATGAAACAATTTCCATTCGATTCTTAGAGATTAGACAAATCTAATGATCTAATATTCAGTGATTTTAGATTAGCCTATCTTGAGATATTTGCGATCGAATTTTGAAATCATGGACTCCTTTATTTAAAGTAGAATTTATTGATTCATAATTTCAGCCAATAATACAATTGTAATTATCTCGAGATTGGATGATCCGAAATTAATAAATGTTAGCTTATTGGATTCGTCTGGTCGTGGAAAATCGAATGGTTTTTTTAACGATGCATACTGCCATTAAGTTTATTGATTTATATTGTATACAAAATAAAATTTACAAAGAAAAAATACAAAGTAGATAAAAAACTAAACTAATGACTATCTTACATAGTCCTATTGCTAATAAAAGCTCAAACCTATTTAGATTGACTGATCACCGGAATCCCTCTCTGACTCAACCAAAAAATCCATATCTAATGATTAAGCAGTTAACAAGAAATTCAAATGAGGTTGTCAATACAACAATGTAATTTCTAAATGTCTTTCGATCCCAACTTCTAAATAAAATTTAAAAACTAACAACTCTCTTAAGAAGGGAAATAGGTACAAATAGAAATTATTAAAAAAACAAATATAACTCTATAAAAACCTAAATGTCTGGTTAATTCTGGTTATAACAACCATCTGACCAAAAAAGATGCATCCAAAAAAAAGTCCAAACAGAGACTCTTCATACTTATAAATTCATAAGTACAGAAAAAATATCACATGGAATCTACTACAAGAATCCTATGATAAATCAACAGATAGTAACCTATACCCTTTACCTGGTTATCAGGAAGGAATGAATCTAAACGAAGCAGACTTACACTGAGTAATGACCACTTGGAGTTCCATTTAAAACTACGATAGGCTGACAAAATACAAAACCAAGTGGTAGCTACTATCACAATATATAGAAGACCTTATGAAGAAACAAAGTAATAATTCATGCTAAATTTGCATGTAATCTTTGACGACAGAGGATTTGCAGAAAGGCAGAGGCTAATCAAAAGAGAGTATATTGTTTAGGAAAGAGAAAGGTGTTATTGCATGAGATTTGTTTATCCAAAGTATATTGATCATAATTGTCAGTTAGGATACTCCTTGATGTCTACTTTTTAGTAGGCAAAAAAGAAAAAGAGAAAAATGGAAAAAATTTTTTCGAATAGAGGTGAAGAAAAAATATTTTAACAAAAAACAATACTGTTTAGACTATTTCAAAAAATTTTATGTGGATAGGGATGTGGGTAACAAATAGAAAAATATTTTTGAAAGGTTGGGTTTTTTATTTGTTCGCAGGCTAAGCTGTCACTGCTATTGAACGGGCATCTTTTTTAAGTAAGAATTCTTGGAAAAAATCCAATGAGAAAGAGTGTGCAGAAATCGAATAGTAGTTGTTTCATATGAATCAGATGATATTAACCAAGATCGTACATTTTTTCTTTTTTTAATTTTTTTTTTATATAAAAATCATATGATATAATGTCATTTTGACTATTTCAACTTTTCACCTCCAATAGTCGAAATGATTTCAACCAAAAAAACTCTTTCTCTCTCTTCCAAAATATTTTTTCAAAAATATTTTTTAGAAAATAAAATTGTTTCGCCCTTACTATTTTTAATACAAAAAAACTCAGTTTAGATAATTTATTACTTCTCTCATCAACTATAACAACTTTATTTACAAGAAAGAGTTTAAAAGTTTTACAACCATTTTTACAAATATAATATGACTAGAAATTCTGGAAAAAAAGCTACTGCCAAAAAAGTTTCTGCTAAACCTGACAAAAATGCAAAGCAACAAGAGAATATCGCCTCTAGCTCTGCTGAACACTAGGGTTCCGCAATTCGATTTGACATTTGAATATTTGATTTGAAAATCAAATCAAATACAAATTCAAATTTATATTT